AGTGATTGAATTCCCTTCAAGTTCTGCTTAAGCTTGGTAATCACCCATTTATTTGTGTATTGGAGAGGAGAAACCTCTAAAACATGCAGGATAGCAGCCCTAGTGGACCAGGATAGCCCACCCCTGGTCTTGAAACACCAGCAGTAGTCTTGCCCAAAAGGGTTATAATTCAACAAGTTTGACAGATTTAGGTTTCCCTTTCGGAACTATAACTGGTAAAAAAAAATAAATAACACTATCGTTTTAACCGTTTTTGTTTTACATCTTGAACCGTTACATCTTGAGTTGAGAACTGCACCAAGATTCTTATGGAAAGTGCAGCAGGAAATCAAAAAAGACTAAAATGTCTCATAAAGAATGAAACAAAACCTGATGAAAGGCAGTTTGTTGAGTCTTTAAGAGCAGACTTTGGAAAAATGGCAAGAGGAGTTGGTTGTGGTTTTAGTGTCCACTCCACCACATGTCAATGGTGAGTCTGTGTTTGTAATAGCAGTGACATCATGACACTATTTATGTTAAACAGTTGGGAAGTACTTGAAAACAGTTCATTGTGTTATAATATGAATTTCTTGCTCTTTTAAACCACATTCTCCTCCTGTCTGTGTGAGACCCATGAAATGACAAGCTTCAGAACAAGAAGCTCAGCAAGCTTCGACTGATGTTTTGAGCTTGGCCTAAGCATTAGCTTATGTAATGAAAACCGCACTGACTTGGAGATCTGCTCCTCCAGATGAGTTAGGAGACATTTGAGAGCAGTCACTGGGTTGTAGACAAGCTGGTGCTAATGATGGATGCCTTTTGGAGTCGAATATTTCAGCTATGCCAGATTTTCTCCACACTATTTTGTGTTGAATGCAAAAAGCTGCACTGTCCAGTGGTCAGATTCAAATAAATTTATAGACAGTGCAAAGCTCATACCATCATTCTGGCTACTTTTTCACTGTCTGCAGGTTTGTTTATTAACTCCCTCTAGGCAGCTAAATCAAACTTTCCACAATGGATCATTTTCTTTTTTTGTAATCATTGTACTTTTTCCCCTTTCCAGTAACTTGGAGCTTGTTTGGTTTGATATGTGTGCCACATGTTTAACAACAAAACATCCAAACAAAAAGTGTTAGTGAATCCGTGCTACTTATAGCCAACACGTTTGCACAGTGTTATGGATAAATCCTCTTTGACCCATTTCATAAACTTTGGACCATACCTTTTAATAAGTAATACTTGGAAGCAGAACTGAAAATAAACACCTCTGGTAATTTTCCAGTCTGGAAGGTTGCATGACTCAATTCTACCTGTAATCCACATAGTAAAATATTTCCAGCTGTGTTTCTCTTTTGCTTATTTCCACAGAAATGCTATGATAGTGTGCTTTTAAACAATCTCTGCAGCAAGACTACAAAGCAACCCGGATTTTGGACAGTAGTTATTTGTCAGAGCTTGTAATGTCAACTAAAAACAGAAATCCAAAGATCTTCAGAGTATCTCTGCTTTAAATCCTATATTGTTCAAAGCTGGAACTCTGCCTACCCAAGACACAACATCATTAGGAGTTTTTTCATTTAGTTCAGATTTCTTTACTTTGGCTTTTCCTTTTCTGCTTACTCTTTCCTTGATCTAAGTTGTGACAAGTTGCATAAGCATCCCCCCTCCCAATTTGTAATACAACCTCATGGCATTTTAGCTCTCCTCTGCACTCATGCTGAGCCGTTACATGACTCAGTTTCTAAAGAACAGAACAGGCTGCCTCTGTTTTGGATTGTTCCCGTCTAGACACTTGGCTTGCATTACTTAGAGACTAAACCTCCGGCTGCATTATTGCTGGCTTAAGAATGCATTGGAGATAATGGATTAGACCAAAAAAAAGATAACACCGTCATTTACACAGAATATTTTAATCTTGCAAATGTTCTGTTGAACAAAGTAAAATGGATCAAAAAATTCAACCTGGAGGCCTATGGCTCAGTGATTAATARTATTGTCTCAGAAAAAAAAAGTTATGGGGCAGACTTGGCATGTTATCCTTGAACACAGACTTTTCTCTGGGTACTTTGGTTTCCTTAAGCAGTATTAAACATGCATATTGAGTTAATTAGAGATTTTAAATTGCCTTTAGGTGTGAGTGGGAATAATTGYGTCTTGTTTGTCTCTGTATTGGACCTTAGATTGACTGACAACCTGTCCAAAGTACACCCCACCTCCGGCCTGTTGACCAATGAAGACATGATGTGTGGATGAACACTGAAATATTGCTACCACCAATACCACAATTTTATGCTTTGCAATCGATTCTAAAATCAAAATATTGATACGTTGATGCTTCAGCCATTTTCAGGTGATGTATACCATTAACAGCAACACAGTGGAAAGTAACTAAGACACTTATTTAAATCWTTACTAAAGCAAATGTGGATGGTAGGAACTAGCGGTAATTTTTCTTCCACTTTCCAGCAGCATTGTTTTAGTTGCATACTCAGTATTTTCTTGTTAACATGTTCATGTAAGTGAATTGAAATGTAMGTTTAAAAGCTTTTTTTGTAATAGTGCTTGATAAATAAACAATTTATTTTAATAGTTTTTTTATTTACTTCAGTTTTTATTGTTTAAAACACCACTTTCACATATTTCTAAATGATTGTGTCCTCTGGTGGGTTCCCTGTTTTATTAGCTCAGATTTATTATGGATGAGGACATATGAGTTTAAAATAAATTAAAGACTCTGATGTCTTTTATTCTTTATGAAGCAGTGATTTGACATACACATTTTTTTGATTTACCTCACATTATGTGCATTTTCATAAAGTATCAGTATTGGATCAAGGTCACCAATACCAGACCGAGTTTTACTCAGAACTGGAAAGGAAATCTGTGGTGTCAAACATCACTAATAGACACCAGTTCTACTCAACCCTCAAGCCAGAAGGTCACCAGTTCAATCCCCCGTCCAGCCGTCTCAGTTGATGTGTCCTCGGGCAAGACACTTCACCCGTTTGCCTACTGCTGGTGGTCAGAGGGTCRGGTRGCGCCRGTGCATGGCAGACCCCCCTCTGTCAGTGTATCTCAGGGCAACAGTGGCTGTAGCTTGCCACTATCAGTGTGTGAATGTGTGTGTGAATGGGTGAATGCCTGAAGTGTAAAGCGCCCTGGGGTCCAAGTGGATTTGATGAGGGGCTATATAAGTTCAAACCATTTACCAATCAACCCTGAACAGGAATAACTATGTAAATATCATGAATGAATGAAAAGCACAACCCAGCTGTTATTTTAAAGGTCCTGAAGGAAAATTGATTCTGTTTGCACAGATTTTAATATAAATGCTTTTACTGACATGTCTGAACTATTTTTGATAACCAGTTGTCTAATTAGATATGTTTTAGTGCGATAAAGCTGTGATTTAAAGGTAGTGTGCACTCTGCTTTGAGTGACTAGTGAGGTCAACTCAGAACAGAATGTACTTTTGAGGGACAGTTTAGATAAAACATGCTTTACACCTAACAACAGACAGTTTTTCATCAGATTGCAGAATTTGTGTTTAAGACCGAACTGCTCGTCAGGAAGGGCCTTTCGATATCAGTGACGACTTTTGCCCCAGAGAGGAGTGGTTTGGTCAGAAGAATGTGCATAAAAAATCTTATTTCCTGATTTTTTACTGCACACTCCAAGACTGAATAAGGGTCTGCATTTGGCCCAGCAGAAAAGTGGTGTGTGGCTTTATTTATCTGTAAATACATGTTCAAGTCTTAAATCTAAATTCGTCTCCTGGGTCATTCTCGTCAGTAAAAACATGTTTTCTTACAGTCCGTTTTGAACATTTGTGATTGGGTGATGAATCACTGCAGGTTTTGATGTTTTTCTGGCATGTTTGCATATTTTCAAATGTTTTTAATGAATGGATAAATGACATTATAAGGTYTAAAGTTAGACTGACATATCCAGGTCTAGGACTTTGTGTTGACTTGATAAAATACTGCACGTTATTCCACATAATACTGACGACTAAAAGATGATTTTACTGAAGTTAAACACATCTAACGCTTTGAGTAATRTTTGCCAAACTGAGAAACAATCAAGCAGGAATGCCAAAAAAATCACAATAAAATAATTGTAAGAATTCAGCCAAATACCTGACTGCATACATAGACTGTCTGCCATGAAAGAACAATAACAGGCTGTGTAGCTCATAGCTGACAATATTTTTTGATCTATTTATACAAAACCTAAAACATTGGGTTCCAGGTTCACCACACAACCTGGGACTGTGTTCAAACATGTTCTCAATGAGCTAAACAGGCCACCAAGAAAGTATGCAGACTGTTGGATTGCTTTGTTTGAACTGAACTAGAAGTCATATAGAYATATTTGTAAATCAAATGATTTTTACAAGGGGTGGGCATATCCATAAAGGTATCTCTGTTATACCAAGATGAGTATATTATCAATACTAATTTGATGAGCTTGATCGTTTTGATTACACCTTATTTGCACTACTGACTTTATTTTTCACAAATAAAGGGAAAAATAAAGTCAGTAGTGCAGAGTCTCCAAATTGTTTGAAGTTATAGTGAACTATGTGGCCAACATGCGATGGAAGGTATTTTTTGTTGCGTTTTTGACATTGTTGTATTTATATTTTGTTACAATGTTGTTTCTTTTTTATTATTATTTTGCATTACGTCTTTTCCCCCCAAACAGTTGTGTAGTAGAAGGTAATGGGGGAATTATTTGATTATTTTTTTATATTATTACATAGTTTGATAATGAGTTGGTTAATACAAAACACTTTTATTTGCTAAAATCTTTGTCTAGTGTTACATTCTAATTGATAAGTCATCAAACATGATCTGTATCTAGGCTATATCAGAATGTAAACTTTGTATTAGATCGGTTCCAAAAACCCTAATTTTTACTCATTTTGTGACATGTGTGGGATGTGCCAATCCACAATGCTGCCGCTTTGCGCGCGCGCCCGCGAGTGGTGGTGGTCGCGGTGGTTGGGGGTGGGGGGTGTCTTTCTGCGGTCCTGCGGATGAAATTCGCGATATTCGGGCCTGGTGGTAAATATGGAGCATTTCCCTGGAGCGAACACACAAAACCATTTCCACCCGTGGGAAAACCGAGGGCTGTAGCCGCGCAAATTACAAAACCATCTTAACTCGCTGTTATTTATGGCTTCTGGCTCCGGAGATGAAGAAGGAGACACGGACGGCGTTGCATGGAGGCTCATAGAGCCAGCCTCGGAGCTTTCCAAGAAGCGCTGCCGCCTCCTGTACTCCCCTCTCGGCCACGACGCAGATGTCTGCCTCTTTTATGTAAAGGGGGAGTTCTTCGCCATGGATGCCCGCTGTGCGCATTCCGGTAAAATCTGATTTCTTTCCTGCCTATTTCAACCCCTCAGCTGCCGGTGGCGAGTCAGACACGGTTAGTTAATGAGTGTCTGTAAACATCAGTGTTGAAGGCTTGCAGTTTCATTTGTGAGAATAGATTCTGCCAAAAGGAGAAGAAGAAAACAACAACAACAACAACAACAACAACAATAATAATAATAACATTCTGTCCACTGCTGCTGGTTGAATTTCCAAAATTAAACAAGCTGCAACATTTTATTTTCCCAGATAAGCATGGTGTTTATCAACAGGCAGTCCTCGGGCCTATTTTGACCTTCTGGTTGCAGAGGGGATGTGGTTCAGGGAGCAGTGTGTAGACTCAGTAACCCTCCTGCTG